CGGGGGCACAAAATCAACCAAATAAACCCCTGCAGCATAAAGGGGCCTGGCAAACCTGAAAAAGCGTTCCGATACCTTAATAAGGAAAACGTTCAAGACAAATGTACACTGTGTATGTTTGGGCCCCTACTGGGGTATGCAGCACCAGTCTGGAAACCCACACCTGGTCAAGCACATCAAAAAGTTTGGAAAGTACAAAAAATTTCAAAAAGGCTAGTCCCAGAGCTCAAGGGGAAAGTCGTAACGAGGAAAAGGGTTTAAAGGGAAAATCGGACTGACGACACTGGAGGACAGAAGGGTCAGGGGAGACATGATAACGACATAACAGATACTGCGGGGAATAGACAAGGTGGACAGAGATAGGATGTTCCAGAGAGGGGACACAGGGACAAGGGGTCACAACTGGAAGCTGAAGACTCAGACGAGTCACAAGGGACGTTAGGAAGTATTTCTTCAGTCATAGAGTTGTCAGCAAGTGGAATAGCCTAGCAAGTGAAGTAGTGGAGGCAGGAACCATACATAGTTTTAAGAAGAGGTATGACAAAGCTCAGGAAGCAGAGAGAGAGAGGATCCAGTAGCGATCAGTGAAGAGGCGGGGCCAGGAGCTGAGTCTCGACCCCTGCAACCACAATTAGGTGAGTACAATTAGGTGAGTACATACACACCCACACACACACACACACACACACACACACACACACACACACACACACACACACACACACACACACACACACACACACACACACACACCGCACGCACACACACACACACACATGGTAATGCATTATTTACAGCTAGCAAAGTCAGGGTATTTCTCCAGAATGGTCTGCAATATACCACTGTGGATAAAATACTTTGCCATTTCTTGAACATTTCTGAGTGAGTTGTTTCTAAATTCATTAATTTGATCACACTCCAGTACATAATGATGCAAGGTGTGACAATAGTCCATCTGGCAAAGTTTACATTTCGTTTGGTCTACATCTGGTGGTGGTGATTTAACCTGCCAAAGATATTTGTAACCCAGCCAGAGCCGGGCAGTAGCGACATCCAAGAGTCTGCTTATCTTGTTGGATGCACCATAGACATGTGGCTCCTCCTGCATGATGGAATGATGATAGATGGACTGACTTGTGTCAATCTCCCTAAGTCTTAAGTCAATAAAGTTCATTTGAAGTTCTTTTCGTATTATTGTTCTCAAACTGCTAACTGACAACCCAAGATTGTAATCTACCCCCTCTTTGAAAGCATACAGCTTAGCCAATTTATCAGTTCTATCATGCATCTGAAGACCAATGTGAGATGGAATCCAGAGCATGTGCACTCTGACTCCACTGTCCACAATCTTACCATACCTATGTCTGGCTTCTGACACAAGCATACCACAATTTATACTTAATGAGTTGAGAGCATTTATGGATGACAGAGAATCAGTTACAATTAAAGTGTCAAGCTTAGATACATGGACACATTTGAGTGCAAGGAGTATGGCAAACAGTTCTGTTTGAAGGGTAGAGGCCCAGTTATTGATGCGTGCTCCAATTTCTTTATGAGAGCCATCACTCTGTGTGACAACAGCAGCACTACCAGCTGCACCAGTGGACTGGTGAACAGAACCATCGACGTAAATAATTTGTGAAAGATTGTTCTGTGTGACTAAGTTATCAATACAGCTTAAGGCATCATGTTTGGCTTCAAGACGAAGCTTTGGTTGTGATTTAAGAAGAGTTTTGGGGGGGAAATGGAGGAATGGTAGTTTGGAATGGGGTAATATCCATGGAGCAAGGAAATGTCTCTGTTGTCTAATTGATATAGATCATGTAGTGGTTCATGTGGAGGTCAGTTCCAGTTTTTTCGATCCATCTGGAAGGATGTTCACCAGTGCTGAGGAAAGTTTGGAGGGCTTCTGTGCAGGGGTTTGAATGGGCTAGCCTAAGCATATTGACCCCAATAAGGATATTTCTTTCAGTAACACAATCTCTAATGCTTGGAATATTAAGTTCTTTCCGCATATTTAAAATTTTGGCAGAACGAGGGCATCCTAGGATGATCCTCATTGCTTTGTTTTGCAGTTTTTCCAGCCCTCCGAGCTTCCAGTCAGACACGAGTGCAAGTAGTGGCACCGCATAATCAACCAATGATCTAATATAAGCAAGATACATCATTTTCACAATTTTAACATTAGCACCATACCTGGGATGAAAACCTGCCACAACTCTAAGTGCTCTCAGCCTTTCTTTGTATTGGCAACAAAGTCTCGTTACAACAGGAAAATAGTGATAAATAGGTTAATCATATGTGAATTTATTTATTTATTTATTTATTTATTTTATGTCTTTGCAAACAGTACATTGAGATTTTATATTTACAACAGTGGGTTGCAATGCAAAGAGAGCCTCTATTATGCCTAGGCATTATGGACCAACTTAATGTTATTGACTTACAGACTACTAAACACTAAGGATTATATCATAATTGTACAGTAGGATTGTAATTACTTCATAGTTGAACAGTAGATTATTAATTGTAAGTGAATTAAATTTGTATAAGACAAAGGATATATTCATATAGTCCAAAATGCTTTTTGTGAAAACAATAGTTCAATTATATTCCTGTTAACAATGGATAAAAGATTCTAAGTGATTGTTGAAGTTATGATGTGGGAGTACATAGGTGAGTAAGTGTGTACTGAGTATTTAGCTTTTAGTTCAGGGTGATTAAGTGGCTTTTGAGAAGAGTCTTAAATTGATTTTCAGACTGGTTTACTTTAATATCCTCTGGTAATGAATTCCATATTTTAAGGCCCTTTATGTGCATGGAGTTTTTATACAGTGTGATATGGACATGTGGTATATCAAAAAGAGATCTGTGTCTTGTGTTGTGGCCATGTGTCCTGTTTAAGTTGGTGAGGAGAAGTTTGAGTGGAGGGTTTATATTTGCGTGTATTGTTCTGTGTATGTAGTAGGCACATGAATAAGTATGGATGTTCTTAATGGTGAGCAGATTCAGATTTTTGAAAATTGGTGGAGTATGCTGGCAGGAGTGGGAATTCATTATCATTCTTACTGCTGCCTTTTGCTGGGTTATGAGGGGTTTTAGGTGATTGGATGTTGTTGATCCCCATGCACAAATTCCATATGTAAGATAAGGGTATATGAGTGTATGGTACAGTGCCAGGAGAGCTGATTGTGGAACGTAGTACCTTTTCTTGGATAGTATGTCTACAGTCTTGGAAATTTTCTTGGTGATTTGTTGTATGTGTGTCCGGAACTTAAGGCTGCTGTCAAGGTGGATACCTAGGAATTTTTCCTCTGTGAGTCTTGTGACTGATGATCCATTTAGCGTTATGTTAATCGGATCATTTGCAGCTTTGTTTCCAAACTGAATGAAATAGGTTTTATCAGTATTCATGGTAAGTTTATTAGTCATAATCCAGGCAGATATTTTCTGCAATTCAGCATTGACTGTGTTTGCTAGTATGACTGCATTTGGGTGGGAAAAGACATATGTAGTGTCATCTGCAAATAATATGGGTTTGAGTAGCTGTGATGCATTCAGTAGATCATTGATGTAGATGAGAAAGAGGAGTGGCCCAAGGACCACCAAGTCATTTTCATGTTTAATTTTATATTCATAATTATACTATACACGTACAGCATATTCTTGGAAAATTCTTAAGTATTATAATAAAGTCATCAACCTGTTATATTTGAAAGTATAATAATTATAGGGAATATATTTAATGACATCTATACAGCACCAGTGTGAAACTGTCTTTAGTGCTCAGTGGACAAGAACTGTACATGATGGATTCATGCATCATCAAGTGACTCACTTGAGTACAGGACACATGCACAGTCTCCATCACATATGGTTAATTTTTTATGTGAATGAAAACCTCTGTACTAGGGTGGTAGACAGCAGCCACCCCGGGAGGTGCTACCATCCTGTGGTAGTAGGTTGGTAGACAGCAACCACCCAAGGAGGTATTACCATCCTGTGGTAGTAGGTTGGTAGACAGCAACCACCCAGGGAAGTACTACCATCCTGTGGTAGTAGGTTGGTAGACAGCAACCACCCAGGGAGGTACTACCATCCTTTAGTAGTAGGTTGGTAGACATCAACCACCCAGGGAGGTACTACCATCCTGTGGTAATAAGCTAGTAGACAGCAACTGCACATGGACATACTACTGTCCTGGCAAGTGAGTGTAAAACAAAAATCTGTATTTGTTTTACATGATGGTAGAATTGCTGGTGTCTTTAACAAGCAAGATTTCAGGTACGTCGTGCTACTTCTACTTACACTTAGGTCACACTACACATACATGTATAAGCATATATATATATACACACCTCTGAGTTTTCTTCTATTTTCTTATTAGCTCTTGTTCTTGTTTATTTTCTCTATCTCCATGGGGAAGTGGAATAGAATTCTTCCTCCGTAAGCCATGTGTGTTGTAAGAGATGATTAACATGCCGGGAGCAAGGGGCTAGTAACCCCTTTTTATACATTACTAAATTTAAAAATTAAAATTTTCGTTTTTCTTTTTAGGTCAATGTGCCTTGGTGGGATAGGGCCGGTTTGTTGGAAGAAGAAAAGCTCCATATGAGGTCTCTTGAACAAACAGTTTGATTTCGGTTATTTCTTTTTTTTGGAATGTCAATAAACTTGAGAAAAACATAAGTTATTTTTGCTTAAACCAGTTATCAGAAAAAATAAATTACATTTTCCTTATGAACTTTAATTTTATAAAAGAGAAATGAAGAAGTTAATATTGATATACAATAATTTTTATGTAGGGATTCCTCGAGAAGTGAAAATTATTTCAAGGTTCCACAAGAGTAAAAAGGATCAGAACTGCTGTAATGTTTGAAGGATTGGATTTGAGTGAGGTAATATTGAAAATGGGTTGGACAAATATTTTTGTAAGAGAGTTTGGATTTGAGAAGGACTTGATTTCTTATGTTAACTTAGAAAAGGTTGAGAAGATTTACCTTAATGAACTTGGTGAAGGGCTGAGAGGTACGGCACAGTTTGTGGAAGGTTTTGAGCACCTCAGGAAAATCGTTGACGTAGGCCGTGTACAGACGCAGTACATCAGTGTGTCGTGGGTCTGTAAACCTGGAGACAATGTCACCGACCAGTGGCTGCCACTTCCATGATGCCAGTCTCTCCCGCAGCTGGTGCTGCAGCAGGCAGTGCTTGTCATACAGCTGGTACACCTCCTCTGGGAACAGTGTCCTGTGGGATATTATAATGTTAAGTTCCTGTCACAGCATACTGCTCCTCTGGGTACAGTCACTTTCCTTATAAAGCTCATTTATTTAGTCAGCACTCGTTTAAAGCTCCTTATAAGAGCGCTTTGCTTTACGGCATTTCACTAATGCAGCAGTTTTCAATTATACCCATTAATCATTTATTCAGACTTCTTAAAATTAAATATATTCACCACTCACTATAAATAATGAAAGAAAATATTTTAAGTAACCACACAATAAAGCAAAAAACTAATATGAATGACCTAACCAATCTTAACAAGACACACGACCATAACACAAGACACAGATCTCTGATGTACCCCGTGTCCATATCACACTGTGTAAAAAATCTATGCACATATAGGGCCCCAAATCTGTAAATGGTCCAAGTCGGACCGAAACGTCGTCGTAAGCTTCTCTCTTTTATGTGCGGGTTATTTGTATATCGTTCCAGTCACGATATTGTGCCTTTTTTTTTTGTTATTTCTGGAATTCATTATCAGAACATACTAAAGTAACCAGGTCTGAAAATCAATTTAAGACTCTTCTAAAAAACCACTTACTTGCCCATGACTAAATAATCAACACTCAGTATTTAACATTACCAACAATTCTCCCAATTATTTAAATCTTACAACTTCAAGACAACATACAGCAAATTGATCATCTTTTGTTATACATTTTAATGCGACATATTTATACAACTATAATGCTTCAGTATAGAAATGTTCAAATTTCATTGTTTCAAATACTCAACTGTACTTCATATTGTAAATTGTTTACTGTAATTTTTACCACTGAACCTTTCACTGCTTGTTAATTTTAAGTTAATTTTAAGCCTGCCCATAATGCTTGTATACAAGGGACTTTTGGCATGTTCACTCAACTACTATAATTCCTTGTACAACTGTGTATCATGTTCAAATAAACTATATGAATATAAAAAAAAAGGGATATAAGTTACTGGTTTGTGTTGCAAAAAGTACAGAAAGTTTTGACAAGAAGTGCCATCATAGTATCATATTACAATTACAATAATGTCAGAGGATCTCTCTTTCAAAGATTACAACAATGTATCTACCTCATCTGCTATGAAAATGACAGGATGGATAATGAGAACCTTCAAAACTAGGGATGCCAAGCCCATAGGGCTCTGGTGGCCTGGTGATTAACGCTCTCACTTCACACGGCGAGGGCCTGGGTACGATTCCCAGCCAGAGTAGAAACATTGGACGTGTTCCATTCCACCTGTTGTCTATGTTCCCCATCAGTAAAATGGGTACCTGGGTGTTAGTCGACTGGTGTGGGTCACATCCTGGGACACTGACCTAATTTGCCCGAAATGCAGAGCATAACAAGGGACTTTCTATATAGTAGTATGTCATTGTTGTCAGCTAGGACTGTATACCTTGTACATGTACTTGTAGTAAATAAAGATATTATTATTATTATGATGATGATTCTCTTTGAACTGCTTGTTCTCTCTAGGTTGGAATATTGCTGTACACAAATGGTCTCTTTCAAGGCAAGTGAAATTGCAGACCTTGAGAATATACAGAGAACTTTCATGGCACATATAAGCACAATAAGGCACTTCAAAAAGCCTAAAGGGACTAGTACCATATCTGCACATGAAAATCACTCCCTATGAAAGGAAAAGACTCGGCAGATGGTGAAACATTCCCCCAGTGAAAAGCAGGGGCACCACGAGAATGCTAAGAGACACAATAAGTGTCAGGGGCCCATGACTGTTCAACAAGGAGCTGGACAGACACCTAAAGTCAGTACCTCACCAGCTGGGCTGTAGTTCATATGCCAGTTTACATGCAGCCAGCAGTAACAGCATGGTTGATAAGGCTCTGATCTACTACGAGACCTGGTCACAGATTGGTCCACGGGGGCGATGACCCCTGAAACTCCCTCCAGGTAATATGTGGACTGTATATGCAGTTTTTAGACCTAGGTCTATTGCTCACTTAATATATGATAGTGTAAATATGTTATCTGGCTTCTATAGGCATTTGAAAGTGAAAAAAGACTATGCTTCACTTTACAGCAATTTTTGCTTTACAGCATTAGCCCAGAACTTAACCTGCTGTATAAGCGGGACCCTCCTGTATGTAGTCAACTCTCTTATAAAGAAGAGCTTCATAAGAGAACTGACTTGATATAACAACTACACAACAACTGCTCATTAAAAATGACATCATATCAGGTCTTCATCTTGACTGCAACCTTAAATTTCAGACCCACATCGAATATATAGTCAAGAAGGTCACCAAAACAATAGGTATCCTTTCCAAAATACAGTAGTGTGTACCCCAAATGGCACTACTTACACTATACCACTCTAATCTACCCTTACAAATACAATACAAATTTTTATTTCCTTGCAGGTTTACATTGAGATTATGTAATTACAATAATGAGTTGCAGTGCAAAGAGCCACTATTATGCCATGACATTATGGGCAGACTAAATTTAATGGCTTACAGACTACTTAATAACTTATGGTATTTGTGTTTGGGGAAATACTATAACCAATCACCTTGAACCATTAATAACCCAACAAAAAGCTGCTGTGTGGATGATCACCAACTCCAGTCTAGTTTTAAGTAGCTCGATTCCCGGCGAAGGGGTGGAAACATCGGATGTGTTTCCTAACATCAGCTGTCTATGTTCACCCATCAACCAAATCTTTCAGTGGGCTGCAGAAAACAACATGAAGTTCAACGTTGAGAAATTTCAATTACTCAGATATGGTAAACACGAGGAAATTAAATCTTCATCAGAGTACAAAACAAATTCTGGCCACAAAATAGAGCAAAACACCAACGTCAAAGACCTGGGAGTGATCATGTCGGAGGATCTCACCTTCAAGGACCATAACATTGTATCAATTGCATCTGCTAGAAAAATGACAGGATGGATAATGAGAACCTTCAAAACTAGGGAGGCCAAGCCCATAATGACACTCTTCAGGCCACTTGTTCTATCTAGGCTGGAATATTGCTGCATACTAACAGCACCTTTCAAGGCAGGTGAAATTGCTGACCTAGAAAATGTACAGAGAACCTTCACGGCACGCATAACGGAGATAAAACACCTCAATTACTGGGAGCACTTCAGGTTCCTGAACCTGTATTCCCTGGAACGCAGGCAGGAGAGATACATGATTATATACACCTGGAAATTCCTAGAGGGACTAGTACCGAACTTGCACACGAAAATCACTCACTACGAAAGCAAATGATTTGGCAGACGATGCAACATCCCCCCAATGAAAAGCAGGGGTGTCACTAGCACGTTAGGAGACCATACAATAAGTGTCAGGGGCCCGAGACTGTTCAACTGCCTCCCAGCATACATAAGGGGGATTACCAACAGACCCCTGGCAGTCTTCCAGCTGGCGCTGGACAAGCACCTAAAGTCGATTCCTGACCAGCCGGGCTGTGACTCATACGTTGGTTTGCATGCAGCCAGCAGTAACAGCCTGGTTGATCAGGCTCTGATCCACCAGGAGGCCTGGTCACAGACCGGGCCGCGGGGGCGTTGACCCCCGGAACTCTCTCCAGGTAAACTCCAGTAAAATGGGTACCTGGGTGTTAGTGTATTGGTGTGGGTCGCATCTTGAGATAAAACTGACCTAATTTGCGGGAAATGCTCTGCAAAACAAGTGGCTTTCCGTATGGTAGTATGTCACTGATATCAGCTATGGTCTGTATACCTTGTACATGTACTTGTAGTAAATACATGTAAAGATACTATTATTATTATTATTATTATTATTAAATACAGCCTCACCTCACTTAATGATAGAGTTCCGTTCCTAAGACCACACTGGTAAATGAACTCGTCACTAAGTGAGGAGCATTCTATAATGGTAATGGGTTTGTGTCAACTATCTTTGATATTGTTTTAATGTCACAATGGCCCCATTTATAACATTTCTGGTATATTTTTAAATGTTTATTAATTTACTGTGCATATACTGTATTAAACAGAAGAGAGGAAGCCAGCTCTAATATACATTATTTAGATATGCATACTGGTCAGAAAGCCCATCTTAAGTTCAAGTCATCAGTAAACGAGAACGTTTCTAAGTGAGGAGAGGCTGTATTAGCATTAGTCCTCTCAAAATGCTCATGCATGTTAGTGGCTTTCTTTGTTTTTAACAATATTTTAATACATATCAACTACACATTGTATACTTTGCAGAAAAATAAATACAGTGGACCCCAGGTTATCAGCCGGTTCTGTTATCGGCCAATTCGGTGATTGGCCGGTTTTTCGGCTCCCGGTTATCAGCTGTTAATTTGGTGATCGGCTGTTCGGAACACGTCCGTCCGCCAGCTGGGGTGGCTTGCGCGTCAGTTTGGCTGTGTCACTCGGCAGTTGAGGAAGCTTCTGCTCATACATCCAAACATTTTGCTTATTTCCCATTGTAGTTTGTGTTATTTTTGCAGCACAACTGTGAAATAAGTAACCATGACTCCAAAGAAAGTTCTGTGGTAAAGAAAGTGAGAAACACCATGGAATTTAAACATGAAGTGATAGAAAAGTTTGAGAGTGGTATGAAGGTGGTGGAACTTGCCAGGATGTACAGCAAAAATAAATCAACAATTACATCCATCCTGGCAAAGAAAGAACAAATCAAGGATGCTAATGTTGCAAAAGAAGTAACTTTTCTGACTAAACAAAGGCCACCAATAATGGAAGAGATGGAAAAGTTATTATTATTGTGGATTAAGGAAAAAGAATTAGTGGGAGACTATGTTGTGGAGTTGATTATTTGTGAGAAGGCAAGGCAGTTGCATGAGAATCTTGCAAAGAAAATGCCTGGAACAAGTGCTGCAGTTTGTGAATTTAGTGCCAGCAAAGGCTGGTTTGATAGATTTAAGAAGCATAGTGGCATACACAATGTTGTAAGGCACGGTGAGGCTGCAAGTTCTGATAAATGTGCGGCTGAAAAATTCATGCAGGAATTCCAGGGGTACATAGAGGCTGAAGGATTCAAACCCCAACAAGTGTTCAATTGTGATGAAACAGGCCTGTTTTGGAAGAAAATCCCAAACAGGACCTACATTACCCAGGAGGAAAAGGCACTGCCAGGACACAAGCCTGTGAAAGACAGGCTTACTCTTTTGTTGTGTGGCAATACTAGTGGGAATTTCAAAGTGAAGCCTTTACTTGTGTATCACTCAGAAAATCCCAGAGTGTTCAAGAAAAACAATGTCATGAAGAACAGATTGTGTGTGATGTGGAAAGCTAATTATAAGGCATGAGTCACAAGGTAAATTTTCAAAGAGTGGGTTAATGATGTGTTTGGCCCAAGTGTGAAAAAATACCTCCTGGAAAAGAAATTGCCACTCAAGTGCCTCCTGGTACTGGACAGTGCTCCTGCACATCCTCCAGACTTGCAATACCAACTGTTTAGGGACTTCAATTTTATACAAGTGAAGTTCTTGCCTCCTAACACCACTTGTCTCCTCCAGCCCATGGACCAGCAGGTCATTTCTAACTTCAAAAAACTCTACACAAAAGCAGTGTTTCATAAGTGCTTTGAAGTGACCTTGGACACTCAGTTGATTCTAAAAGATTTATGGAGGAATCACTTCACTATCCTCCACTGCATAAGCCTTATAAGTAAGGCTTAGGAGGGAGTGACTTCCAGGACATTGAACTCTGCATGGAGAAAACTGTGGCCAGATTGTATCCAAGAGAGGGATTTTGAAGAGTTTGAGGCTGACCCCTGACCCTGCTGACCCTGTGGACTGTATTGTGGCACTAGGGAAGTCCCTGGGGTTGGAGGTGAGTGGCGAGGATGTGGAAGAGTTGGTGGAGGACCACAGGGAAGAGCTTACCACTGAAGAGCTGCAAGAGCTTCAAGCTGAACGCAACAGACTGCAGCTGAGGAACTTGCTTCAGAGGAGGAGGAAGAGGGAGTGACGGTGGTGCCTTCTTCATTGATTAAGAACATTTGTGCAAAGTGGAATGATGTGCAAAGTTTTGTTGAGAAGTACCACCCTGACAAAGCTGAAACAAACCATATCTGCAACATGTTTAGTGACAATACCCTGTCCCACTTCAGAGAAATCTTAGAAATGCCAGAAACAGAGCACCCTGGACAGTTATTTTGTGAGACGGGGGTCCAGTGACTCTCAAGCTGGTCGTAGTGGCATTAAAAGACAAAGAAGGGAAGTAACCCCAGAGAAGGCTTTGCTACCTAATGTCTTTATGGAGGGGGATTCCCCTTCCAAACACTAACTCCTCCCTCTTTCCTCTTCCCTATCTTCCAGAAGCCAGCATTAGCCTTCAGTAAAGGTGTGTAATATTTATATAATTGTTAAAAAATTATTTTTTGTGAATATTTTCGTCTGGAATGGATTAATTGTATTTACATTAATTCTTATGGGAAATATTATTTTGGCTTTCAGCCATTTCGGTTTTCGGCTGACCTTCTGGAACGGATTACAGCCGATAACCGAGGGTCCACTGTATTTGAATTTGAGGATAATAACGTGACAGTTCTAGGATGACATCCTCGTGAGATAGAATAAGGAGGTCACAGAACCAGTCAGGATATCATTCTTACGTGATATCCTTATGGGACAGGATGCCAGCTTTCTTCAGAGGGTCGGCAAAAGTGTCTTGAATGGTCCAGAGGGTCTTGCAGTACTTCTTTTCAGTGTCCAACAGTTCCCGAGCTACACGGTAGCGCTGAGACTCACGGGGATCAGTCCCCAGTGGGTCCCGGGTCAGTCTTCCTTGGTATGAGTCGTTCCCCTCTCGTCCTGTGCCAAAAAACAGTGTAAAAAAATGTGTTCATTACAGGTTATAAGAGGAAGGAGATGCTTAGGTAACTACTGTCAGCTCTCTTATAAAGCTCCTTTATATACAGTCAGTTCTCTTATGAAGCTCCTCCATATACAGTCAGTTCTCTTATAATGCACCTCTATAAACAGTCAGCTCTCTTAAAAAGCGCCACTATACACAGTCAGCTCTCTTATAACGCTCTCTTATATACTGTCAGTTCTTTTATAAAGTTCCTCTATATACAGTCAGTTCTCTTATAAAGTTCTTCTATATACAGTCATTTCTCTTATAAAGTTCCTCTATATACATAGAGAGTGTAAAAACTATAAGGAAATAAGTCTATTGATGGGATCAAGACAGAAATGTTACAAGCAGGTGGGATATAGTTCTGGAACAGTTGGTACTTTTGTTTAATAAATGTATAGAAGAGGGTAAGGTACCTAGGGACTGGTAATGAGCATGTACAGTTCTTTTGTAAAAAGGCAAAGGGGACAAAAAAGAGTGCAAGAATTATAGGGGAATAAGACTGTTGAGTATACTTGGTAAAGTGTATAGTAGAGTTACTATTGAAAATACTACAGGTAAGGTGGACAGCAGGATCGTAGATAAACAAGGGGGTTTTAGGAATGGTAGGGGGTGTGTAGACCAAGTGTTTACAGTGAAATATATAAATGAAGAGCATCAAGATAAGGGTAAAGAAGTTTATGGATTGGGAAAAGGCATTTATGGATTTGGAAAAGGCATATGATAGGGTTGATAGGGGAGCAATGTGGCAGATGTTACAAACCATACCACGGGTGGGGATGGAACCAGTGGTCAGAGAGTCATAAAACTCCAGACCGACGTGTTAGCCACTGGGCCAGCTGGCTACAATAAGATGTTACAAGTGTATGGAATAGGAGGTAGTTTACCAAAAGCAGTTAAGAGTTTTTACTAGGGTAGTGAGTCTCAGGTAGGAGACAGGGAGATTATTTCCCAGTAAAAGTAGGCCTTAGACAGGGATGCGTGATGTCACCATAGTTGTTCAGTATATTTATAGATGGGGTTGTAAGAGAAGTGAATACTTGGGTGTTGGCAAGAGAATCTAACACAAAGTGGGAGTTGTCACAGTTACTTTTTGCTGATGCTGTTGGGAGATTCTGAAGATAAGTTGCAGAGGTTGGTTGATGAATTTGGGAGTGTATGTAAAAGAAGAAAATTAAAAGTGAACATAGGAAAGAGCAAGGTGATGAGGATAAAAAGTTTAGAAAATGAAATACAGAGGAAGCGAATGTGTTTATATATTTGAGAGTGAACTTGTTAGCAGATGGGTCTATGAGAGATGAGGTGAACCAGAGAACTGATAAGAAAAAAAGGTGAGTTGTGCACTAAGGAGTCTGTGGAGACAAAGACCGGAACGTATGAGAGTATAGCGATAAAAATGCTCTGATATGAGTGTGAGGCATGGGTGGTGAATGTTGCAACAAGGAGAAGGCTGGAGGCAGTGGAGATGTCATGTCTGAGGGCAATGTGTGGTGTGAATATTATGCAAAGAATCCATAGCTTGAAGATTAGGAGGTGCACGGTTACTAAAAGTATTTTCAAAAGGGGTTGTTGAGATGGTTCAGACATTTAGAGACGATGGGATGAAATAGAATGACTTGGCGAGCATATAAATCTGCAGTGGAAGGAAAGTGGAGTAGGGGACATCCTAGGAAGGGTTGGAGGGAAGGAGTAAAGGAGGCTATGTGTGTGAGGGGCTTGGACTTCCAGCAAGCATGAGTGAGCATTATAGGAGAGAGTGGAGGTAATTGGTTTTTATGACTTGATGTGCTGTTGAAGTGTAGCAAGGTAACATTTATGAAGGGATAAAGGGAAACCGGTTATCTGGACTTGAGTATTGGAGGTGGGAAGTACAGTGGCAGCACTCGAAAAGATGACTGAGGTCATAATTCAGAGGGTCATCTAAACTATTATGTCAGCATACTTCTGGCAAGAGTGTTTGAAAGAATGATGGTTAATGTGTTTCCTTTATTGGGTCATCTAATCCAGGTGATAAACTACTGGTGTACTTAATAATAATGATAATAACAATAATAATAATACAGCCTCTCCTCACTTAGTGACGTATTTGTTTACCAACAACTCGGACTTACGACGGGCTCTCTGACCAGTATCCATACCTATATAATGTATATTACAGCTGATTTCCTCTATACTGTTTACTACAATATACAGTACAGTACTGTATAAACATTTAAAAATATACTAAAAATGTTATAAATAGAGCAAAGGTGACATTAAAACAATATCAATGATGGCTGACACAAACCCACTACCATTATAGTATACTCCCTGCTTAGCAATGACTTCATTTACCAACATTATCTTAGGAACGGGACTCCGTCGTTAAGTGAGGAGAGGCTGTAATAATAATAACAGGTACCGTGTTCATGAGAGGATGGTTTCCGGCAGTGCTGAGCATCCTGGGATCTATCAGAAGCTTCAGAATCAGACCTTGTGTGACCTCGCTGGTGTGGTGACTGTCTGGCATGGCGGTGGTGGTGACTGCGGTGGTGGTGGGGTGGCGGTGCAGTCGTGTGCAGTGCGCAGCTCCAGGCCGCACTGCTGGCTCAGTGAGGTGGTTAGGCTGATGCTCTTGTTAGCAGCGATGGTGAGTGAGGAATCAGAGTCATAGACTAACCCCAGGTCATCACCACCAGCACCACCACTGCTGTTCTCACCTGACAACACATAAGTACCATCGTTAAAGCCATTTATAATAAGCAGTTAAATTATTTACTCAGTGATCATCTTCTCAACTTCTATGATGCTGATGCAAATTTCTGCCCGGCTCTGACAACCTCAGAGAAGACAAGTGTGTGCCAAATATGTGTGCTCATAAAACACAAAAATTACTATTAAACACTCGCATGCTCATAAAACACTCACAAGCATCACTATTAGACACTCACATGCTCATAAAACACTCACAAGCATCACTATTAGACACTCACATGCTCATAAAACACAAAAATTACTATTAGACACTCACATGCTCATAAAACACTCACAAGCATCACTTTAGACACTCACATGATCATAAAACACTCAAAAGCATCACTATTAGACACTCCACTGCTCATAAAACACTCACAAGCATCACTATTAGACACTCACATGTCATTTAAACACTCCCCAAGCTTCACTTTAAACACTCAACATGCTCATAAAACACTCACAAGCATCACTATTAAACACTCACATGCTCATAAAACACTCACAAGCATCACTATTAGACACTCACATGCTCATAAAACACTCACAAGCATCACTATTAGACACTCACATGCTCATAAAACACTCACAAGCATCACTATTAAACACTCACATGCTCATAAAACACTCACAAGCATCACTATTAGACACTCACATGCTCATAAAACACTCACAAGCATCACTATTAGACACTCACATGCTCATAAAACACTCACAAGCATCACTATTAGACACTCACATGCTCATTAAAACACTCCAAGCATCACTATTAGACACTCACATGCTCATAAAACACTCACAAGCATCACTATTAGACACTCACATGCTCATAAAACACTCACAAGCATCACTATTAGACACTCACATGCTCATAAAAACACTCACAAGCATCACTATTAACACTCAATGCTCAAAAAAACACTCACAAGCATCACTATTGGGACACCACATGCTCATAAAAACACTCACAAGCATCACTATTAGACACTCACATGCTCATAAAACACTCACAAGCATCACTATTAGACACTCACATGCTCATAAAACACTCACAAGCATCACTATTAGACACTCACATGCTCATAAAACACTCACAAGAATCACTATTAAACACTCACATGCTCATAAAACACTCACAAGCATCACTATTAGACACTCACATGCTCATAAAACACAAACATCACTGTTAAACACTTGTGTGCTCATAAAACACCCACAAACGTCACAATTTTGGTCATTTGGTAGTTTAAGTTTTATTGACCATTTTGTTGGCCATCTTGAAGGTCAAGCCACACTAACAACCATATACACACACCAGCAGTATACTGGAGGGACTGAATATCCCCCAAAATTCCCCAGTGAAAAGCTGGGGTGTATACTTGTAAAGGAACCAAGACTCTTCAACACCCTTCTTTCATACATAAGTTTAAGGGGATCAAGACTCTTCAAGACAAAACTTAACAAACTGAAGCTGATTAAAAGTTACTTACCCTGTATAACATGAGTCTGGCCATGATGAAGCTGGACACTGAGACCGTTTGAAGGATGGGTATGAGACCTAAGACCAGCCACGTAGTCATAGACTGAAGGTGGTACCAGCAGTGATGGTTGTTCTGGTAGTGAGTCCTAAGGGTGAACAACCTCATTAATCATGTATAGTACCAGTAATGTACTCTGGTAGTGAGTACTGAGGCTGAACAGAGTACTGAGACTCAACCTCATTAAATGTAATGTACTCTGGATGAATATTACATAATCAGAATCTCTCCATCTGATCTGAGTGATGGGGTGTTGGGCCGGCTGGCAGATCTCTGACAATAGTCTGAATAAAACATCTAACAAGGTAAATAGCTTCTTTTCAACCATAGGATCAACTTTCGCCAGTAAGATTCCAGACACCAATACCTGAGCAAGCGATTACTTAGATGGAAACTTCCCGACATCCCTCTATCTGGCTCCAACCCAGCCCGCTGAAGATAAGATAAGATTTCGTTCGGATTTTTAACCCCGGAGGGTTAGCCACCCAGGATAACCCAAGAAAGTCAGTGCGTCATCGAGGACTGTCTAACTTATTTCCATTGGGGTCCTTAATCTTGTCCCCCAGGATGCGACCCACACCAGTCGACTAACACCCAGGTACCTATTTGCTGCTAGGTGAACAGGACAACAGGTGTAAGGAAACGTGTCCACCCGCCGGGAATCGAACCCGGGCCCTCCGTGTGTGAAGCGGGAGCTTTAGCCACCAGGCCACCGGGCCTTATTATTAATTCACTACAAAACAAACCAGGATATCTAGCTCAGGTCCCATCACTATCATTCAAACAGGTCTGTCCTCTACCCCCCATTACTTGCTTTTGATACATAGTTTCATGCATCCATATCACAAACTTGCCCATAGGGATAAAGAGGCCCGCACTTGCATATTTTAAGTTTTTACTTACTAACAGCAGAATATTCTTTTATTAACCGTAAACGGTCCAAACGATATTTACTTTTTTACCGTATCCCCCCAAACGTATATATACGTTTTAGTGTCTACATTAAAACATTGCCACGTAACCCGGGTCGCCTTAAAATAAGAGAAGGGGGGTGCGCACTCACTGTTGCCATTTAAAAAAATTTGGGGATGCCGGGGTACCATTTCTCTTTTTTCCTATTAAAAAACAAATGATTTTTTTTTCCCCAAAAAATTTGGGGCCTACGGTAGATAAGTAATAAAATTTTTGGGCCCCATTTAAGGGTTAAGGACACAACCCCCTCAACAGACCTCGGGAGTGGTTTTACGGGAAATTGTTCTTCGCCTCCCTTTTTCTCTTATGCATCAACGCCCTTTCCCCAAAATGAATCGCAACAACTTGACCTTTTCTCTTTGCTGATGACACAATTTTGCGCTCCCACCTAAATCCAGCATACTCAAAAAACATTGTTAAGAAGAGCTTTAAAAATCACCGGGATGGCTACAAAAACTCCATAAACACTGACAAAACCTATATTAGTTTGGGAGCAGAGAAATAAGCCCAACTAAACATTATGATAAAAAAAACTTTTTGCTAAAATAAGGGGGGGAAAAATTTCTGGATCTACACTTTGACAGCAACTTGAAATTCAACATCCACATCCAACACATAACAAAAAGTGTCCCAAACAGTTGGCATCCTCTCAAAGATTTGTTATTATGTACCACAAACAGCACTACATGCATTATATTATTTACTGATCTACCCCTACCTCACCTATGATATCTGTGGCTGGGGATCCACAATAGCAGTTCACCTTAAGCCAACTGTAACCCAACAAAAATCGCAGTATGAATGATCACATTGCTAGAAGACACATCCCCCCCCCCCCATCTTCAAAGACACATACTACTGTGCATCCTATGTATACAGAACAATAAATTCTAATATTAATCCCAACCTGAAGCACTTTCTTGATAGTTGCAACAGGACCCATAGACATAATACTAGGAACAAAAATCTCTATGACATACCCTGTGTCTGGCTTAACCTCTGTAAAAATTCAAAGTACATAAAAGTGCCCAAAATCTGAAACTCTCTGCTGGAAATCTCCAGAACCACTGTCTCAGCTTGCATTTCCAGAACCACTGTCTCAGCTTGCATTTCCAGAACCACTCTCAGCTTGCATTTCCAGAACCACTGTCTCAGCTTGCATTTCCAGAACCACTGTCTCAGCCAGCATCTCCAGAACCACATCTCAGCCAGCATCTCCAGAACCACTGTCTCAGCCTGCATCTCCAGAACCACTGTCTCAGCCAGCATCTCCAAAGCCACTATCTCAGCCAGCATCTCCAGAACCACTGTCTCAGCCTGCATCTCCAGAACCACTGTCTCAGCCAGCATCTCCAATGCCACTGTCTCAGCCAGCATCTCCAGAACCACATCTCAGCCAGCATCTCCAGAACCACTGTCTCAGCCTCCATCTCCAGAACCACTGTCTCAGCCAGCATCTCCAAAGCCACTATCTCAGCCAGCATCTCCAGAACCACTGTCTCAGCCTGCATCTCCAGAACCACTGTCTCAGCCAGCATCTCCAATGCCACTGTCTCAGCCAGCATCTCCAGAACCACATCTCAGCCAGCATCTCCAGAACCACTGTCTCAGCCTGCATCTCCAGAACCACTGTCTCAGCCAGCATCTCCAAAGCCACTATCTCAGCCAGCATCTCCAGAACCACTGTCTCCAGCCTGCATCTCCAAAACCACTGTCTCAGCCAGCTCTCCAAAGCCACTGTCTCAGCCAGCTCTCCAGAACCAAATCTCAGCCAGCATCTCCAGAACCATGTCTCAGCCTGCATCTCCAGAACCATGCTCAGCCAGCATCTCCCAAAGCCACTATCTCAGCCAGCATCTCCAGAACCACTTTTCTCAGCCTGCATCTCCAGAACCACTGTCTCAGCCAGCATCTCCAATGCCACTGTCTCAGCCTGCATCTCCAAAGCCATTGTCTCAGCCTGCATCTCCAAAGCCACTGTCTCAGCCAGTATCTCCAGAACCACATCTCAGCCAGCATCTCCAAAACCCACTGTCTCAGCCAGCATCCATAACCACTGTCTCAGCCAGCATCTCCAGAAAAAACTGTCTCAGCCAGCATCTCCAAAAACCACTGTCTCAGCCAGCATCTCCAGACCACTGTCTAAAGCAGCATCTCCAGAACCACTGTCTCAGCCCACATCTCCAGAAACCACTGTCTCAGCCAGCATCTCCAAAAACCACTGTCTCAGCCTGCATCTCAGAACCACTGTCTCAGCCAGCATCTCCAGAACCACTGTCTCAGCCTGCATCTCCAGAACCACTGTCTCAGCCTGCATCTCCAGAACCACTGTCTCAGCCAGCATCTCCAGAACCACTGTCTCAGCCTGCATCTCCGAGCCACTGTCTCAGCCAGCATCTCCGAACCATGTCTCAGCCTGCATCTCCAGAGCACTGTCTCAGCCAGCATCTCCAGAACCACTGTCTCAGCCTGCATCTCCAGAGCCACTGTCTCAGCCAGCATCTCCAGAACCACTGTCTCAGCCTGCATCTCCAGAACCACTGTCTCAGCCAGCATCTCCAGAACCACTGTCTCAGCCTGCATCTCCAGAACCACTGTCTCAGCCTGCATCTCCAGAACCACTGTCTCAGCCTGCATCTCCAGAACCACTGTCTCAGCCTGCATCTCCAGAACCACTGTCTCAGCCTGCATCTCCAGAACCACTGTCTCAGCCAGCATCTTCAAAAGTACCATAAACAAAAACACCTTCTCTCCCTAACATATCCCAACAACAGCTAGATATGAGAAAACTATATACTATCCAAATTCTCATTGCCACAAACATATGAAAAACAATATATTCTTATTCTCAATATCTGTAATGCTCACAACCATTAAAATATTGAATGTGTTCACATTAATGTACAGAATCCTCATCACCTGTAATTCTTAAGGCAATTCAAATCCACAAAAGTCATATAGCATGTACTAATATGATATCCAATTGTCTTGTATTCACTGTAACTCCTAAATTTATTTTTACAACTACCAAAGAGAATGTATATATGAACATAAGAACGGAGGAACATTGCAGAAGGCCTACTGGCCCATACAAGGCAGGTCCTTATCAAAACCACCACTACCCAAAGCTATCCAAGAATTTACTCCCGTACCCACGACACCAATCAAACCCGGCCCCTCTCACTCATATTTGTCCAGTCTCTTTTTAAAGCTATCCAAGGTCCTAGCCTCTATCACCCTACTCGGAAGATTGCTTCACACATCCACATCCACAATTAGCTATTGCCTTATTAATATGAAGAAAGGCTTAAATTTGCCCGAAATGCTCTGCATATTAAGAGTATTTCTGCATGCAACCCTAAATGTCATCCACCTTTGTAGAAATATTATATCGTGTTGAAATAATCTTTAATCTTTAATCTGGGTGACAGTGTTAGACCAGCTGGTCGAGCAGTAAAACACAATCTGGATGGTTGTTTACCTGATCGGAAGCTCTCTGATTGGTAGGTGTGGGTGACGGGGTGTGGTCGGTGGTGGTGAAGGCCTGGTGGGCCCGCTCTAGTAACAGCGCCACCCCAGAGTCGTTACTGTGGCTCCCAGAACCGGTTCGTCCAGACGGCACCCCTCCGCCGCCCTCTGGTGCTCCGCTGCCACGGATCTCGAGCCTCGACCTGCCGATGGAAGCCCAGAGTCAAATTTATATCACCACTTCAGTCGCCCTGTTCTGCTCTGTCATCTCTAATATCATATTTGATACCTTGGTCACCCTGTTCTGCTCTTTGGTCTCTAATATGAGCCAGACAGAGGACAAGCACAGTACCTTGTATGGTGTGACAGCACTCCAGCCTGGATGAGATCAGACACTAACAGTCGCCGGTCATCCAACAACCTCGTTACAGACGACTGAAGACCCTCCTGTCTGTCACTCACTGCCAACACCTCCTTCCTGTCATTAAACACATAAAAAAATTAACACAACATAGACTTTGCCACAAACATTTCTACAAACATAAAACGTCTCAAAAACTCCAAAATGCCCCATTTTTTTCATCTAAGCCTATTAAATTTAGAGAAAAATGTTACATCTGAAGAAGCTTTAAACCTGAAAGTGAAAGGCCTCAAAAAATATCTGGGAGAATATCAGGGTTAATACTGGGAACATTGTGAATATTGTGCCCAGTGACCAGGGTGATTCTCAGTGACAAAGGTGATTCCAAGTGGAATAATATGTAAGAAACAATAGTAGTCAGTCATGTGGACTGTTAGTGAATTGATAAAGCCACTCCCCTCTCCTCACCTCCCTGGTCCTCTCCTCACATCCCTGGTCCTCTCCTCACATCCCTGGTCCTCTCCTCACATCCCTGGTCCTCTCCTCACATCCCTGGTTCTCTCCTCACATCCCTGGTCCTGTCCTCACATCCCTGGTCCTCTCTTCACATCCCTGGTCCTCTCCTCACCTCCCTGGTCCTCTCTTCACCTCCCTGGCCCTCTCCTCACACCCCTGGTCTTCTCCTCACATCCCTGGTTCTCCCCTCACATCCCTGGTCTACTTCCTCACTTTCCCTGATTCTCTCCTCACATCCCTGGTCCTCTCCTCACATCCCTGGTCCTCTCCTCACCTCCCTGGTCCTCTCCTCACCTCCCTGGTCCTCTCCTCACCTCCCTGGTCCTCTCCTCACCTCCCTGGTCCTCCCCTTTCACCTCCCTGGTTTGGCCTGTTGGCTAAAAACCTCCGCTTCACACACGGAGGCCCGGGTTCGATTCCCGGGGGGGGGGGGGTGGAAAATTCTGACACGTTTTTCCTTAAAACCTATTGTCCTGTTCACCTAGCAGCAAATAGGTACCTGGGTGTTAGACGACTGGTGTGGGTCGCATCCTGGGGGACAAGATTAAGGACCCCAATGGAAATAAGTTAGACAGTCCTCGATGACGCACTGACTTTCTTGGGTTATCCTGGGTGGCTAACCCTCCGGGGTTAAAAATCCGAACGAAATCTTATCTCTTATCTTATCTTATCTTCACATCCCTGTCCTCTCCTCACCTCCCGGTCCTCTCCTCACACCCCTGGTCCTCCTTTCAATCCCTGGTCCCTCTCCTCACCTCCCTGGTCCTCTCCTCACCTCCCTGGTCCTCTCCTCACCTCCCTGGTCCTCTCCTCACATCCCTGGTCCTCTCCTCACATCCCTGGTCCTCCTCACATCCCGGGTCCTCCCCTCACATCCCTGGCCCTCTCCTCCATCCTGGTCCTCTCCTCACCTCCCTGGTCCTTTTTCCTCACCTCCTGGTCCTCTCCTTCACATCCCTGGTCCTCTCCTCACATCCCTGGTCCTCTCCTCACATCCCTGGTCCTCTCCTCACATCCCTGGTCCTCTCCTCACATCCCTGGTTCCTCTCCTCACATCCCTGGTCCTCTCCTCACATCCCTGGTCTCTCCTCACCTCCCTGGTCCTCTCCTCACATCCCTGGTCCTCTCCTCACATCCCTGGTCCTCTCCTCAAAATCCCGGTCCTTCCTACATCCCTGGTCCTCTCCTCACATCTGGTCCTCTCCTCACATCCCTGTCCTCTCCTCAATCCCGGGTTTCCTCCTCACCTCCCTGGTCTCTCCTCACACCTGGTCCTCTTTTCCCACATCCTGGTCCTTCTTCACATCCCTGGTCCTCTCCTCACATCCCTGGTCCTCTCCTCACCTCCCTGGTCCTCTCCTCACATCCCTGGTCCTCTCCTCACCTCCCTGGTCCTCTCCTCACCTCCTGGTCCTTTTCCTCACCCCCCTGGTCCTCCTTCACATCCCTGGTTCTCTCCTCACCCCCCTGGTCCTCTCCTCACATCCCTGGTCCTCTCTTCACCTCCTGGTCCTCCTTCACATCCCTGGTCCCTCCTCACATCCCTGGTTCTCTCCTCACATCCCTGGTCCTCCTCACATCCTGGCCCTTTCTCTCACATCCCTGGTCCTCTCCCCCATCTCCCTGGTCCTCTCTTCACCTCCCTGGTCCTCTCCCCCACATCCCTGGTCTTCTCCTCACATCCCTGGTCCTCTCCTCACATCCCTGGTCCTCTCCTCACATCCCTGGTCCTCTCCTCACATCCCTGGTCCTCTCCTCACGTCCCTGGTCCTCTCCTCACATCCCTGGTTTCCTCTCCTCAAATCCTGGTTCTCTCCTCACATCCCTGGTCTCCCCTCATATCCCTGGTCCTCTCCTCACATCCGTGGTCCTCTCCTCACATCCCTGGTCCTCTCCTCACATCCCTGGTTCTCTCCTCACATCCCTGGTCCTCTCCTCACATCCCTGGTCCCCTCCTCACATCCCTGGTCCTCTCCTCACATCCCTGGTCCTCTCCTCACATCCCTGGTTCTCTCCTCACATCCCTGGTTCTCTCCTCACATCTCTGGTCCTCTCCTCACATCCCTGGTTCTCTCCTGGGCATCCCTGGTCCTCTCCTCACATCCCTGGTCCTCTCCTCACATCCCTGGTTCCCTCTCCTCAGTCCCTGGGTCTCTCCTCAATCCCTGGTCCTCTCCTAAAATCCCTGGTTCTTCCTACATCCCGGGTTTCCTCTCTCACATCCCTGGTCCCTCTCCTCATATCCCTGGTCCTCTCCTCACATCCCTGGTCCTCTCCTCACATCCTGGTCCTCTCCTCACACCCCTGGTTCTCTCCTCACATCCCTGGTCCTCTCCTACATCCCTGGTCCTCCTCCATCCCTGGTCCTCTCCTCACATCCCGTGTCCTCTCCTCACATCCCTGGCCCTTCCTCACATCCCTGTCCTTCCTCACATCCCTGGTCCTCTCCTCAACATCCCGGGTCCTCTCCTCACATCCCTGGTCCTCTCCTCACATCCTGGTCCTCTCCTCACGTCCCTTGTCCTCTCCTCACATCCCTGGTCCTCTCCTCACATCCTGGCCTCTCCTCACGTCCCTTTGGGTCCTCTCCCCCAACATCCCTGGTCTCTCTCCTCAAATCCCTGGTTCTCTCCTCAACCCCTGGTCCTCTCCTCACATCCTGGTCCTTCCTCATATCCCTGGTCCTCTCCTCACATCCCTGGTCCTCTCCTCACATCCCTGGTCCTCTCCTCACATCCCTGGTCCTCTCCTCACATCCCTGGTCCTCTCCTCACATCCCTGGTCCTCTCCTCACATCCCTGGTCCTCTCTCACATCCATGGCCCCTCTCCTCACATCCCGGTCCTCTCCTCACATCCCTGGTCCTCTCCTCACATCCCTGGTCCTCTCCTCACATCCCTGGTCCTCTCCTCACATCCCTGGTCCTCTCCTCACATCCCTAGTCTTCGCCTCAGATCTCTGTCTAGGTCATGTGTCTGACTGAACAAGGGTGTTGCCTAGTGTCAGGCAGGCTGCTCCCCACCTGACCCATGCACCCATGCCTTGCTTCACCCATCATCCCCCCAAGGAGAGACAAGTCCCTAGCAACATCTGCTATCAGGGCAATAAATGCATTCCCCAGAGATGACAACCTCATCCGTCTCCCCACTAGGGCTACAAACACCCCTCGGGAAAATGCCAACAACAGAACACATGAAGCCTCAAAAATTAGAGAACAAATTAGCAAAAAAATAGAAGAGGGTAATACTACTGGAGCTCTGAGGCTTATGACCAGTGAGGATACCATCGCCCATAAGGAAGTCATTACAGCACAAGCTCTGAAGGACAGGCATCCACCCAGAGTTCCCAGTACCAACATTAACCTCCGTGACAGTGCAGCAGGTGAAGAACATTTAACCCTACAGGACGCTCAGCAGGGGGTTCCACCAGTTGAAGGCTACAAAATGGAAAACAAATGCTCAGTCAGGCACTTGGGGATGTTTCAGAGATCGTTGTCTGAACTCTCCAAATTTTCCAATGGTTACCTGACTGGTAGTGTCCCGGAAACCATTCTCTGATGCATCACTATGCGCCCCCCGGAAAAATGAAGGAAGAATCAGGCCCTCTGCAGCTGGCAACACCCTTCAGTGCCTTGTTGCCAAGGCTGCAGTGAGAATGAAAATAAATGGTATAAAATATCGACACAATGGAAACATAAACACATATGCAGTTTAATGTGATCCTTTATTGACAACGTTTTGCCCACACAGTGGGCTTTTTCAAGTCGAATCGAGGACGACGAGAGCTGTCGTAAGATGGGAAGGAAGAAGGATAAGGAAGGATGGAAATAACTGGAAAAGGATGGGGAGGAGGGGAAGAGGAGGAATCAAGGCAAGTGGCCCAACCACTCTGGGACATGTGGTACAAAAGTACTGGAGACGTAGATAGTGAGGCTTGACTGATGTCATTGCTTGGCTCACTAGGAGAGGATGGCGAAGGCAGCGGTAGGAGCTGGGGGTGTCAGAAAGGGGAGCAAGCAGGATGAGATGGTTATGGTCTTAAACCGTTTATCAGTGCGGTAAATTGTTTTCGAGAGAGTTTTTATCACACTTATGGGAGAGCTGTAGTAGTATTCGTGGTTTGGAGTTGGTGGAGTATCTGGTTGTAGGTAGGGAATGGTCTTTCTTCGCTTTGGTATGTACAGTGTTGTCTTGGAGATGTTTTGGTGAGTTCTAGGGGAGTCATTGGGTTGCAGGGGTATAGCCTTGTGGTGTAGAATACGAGTCCTTTATGTTTAACCCATGGTGTTCCAGGTAATCGACGTGAGCTAAGTAGAGAAGGCGGTGGTGGAGTAGAGGAAGGTGGTGTTACTTCGTTTTTTAATTCAGTAGACGAATTAGAAGATGTTTCTGGTGGTAAGGCTTCTGATTGGTTGGATTCAGTGAGAGGTGGTGGCGGTGGAGGCTTTCATTGGTCGTTGTTGGATTGACGTCACTAGTTGGTGGTGTTGATGGAACTTCTGCAGAAGAATTGGCGATTAAGTTTTTGGTGAATTTGAGAATTTCTTCAGAAGGTGGAGATGCTGGAAATGTAAATGAAGGCATTTATTTAATGCAAATAACTTGTTGATGGTAGAGTTAAATATCCAGGTACTGTCTGTTTTGCATATGAGCGTATAGTAGACAGTAGTGAATCTTCGTTACGTTACATGTTGGGGGAGTGATGGTAAATGGTGGTGGTGGAGGCGGGCTGAGTAGATGCTTGAAGTAATTTTGTAGTGTCTGATTGTATCTTTGCAAATTTCTGCATACGTTGAGTGTTGCTAGTAGTTTTTTTTCTTTGCTGCATCTTGTGTTTTCTTCATAATATCCTTTCTTGTAGGACATTTTGCTGCCAGTGTATGGTGATCATTACTCTTGCGTTTAAGCACGCTGGTTGTGTTGGGCAGCAGCGGTGCAGGAACTGAAGGTGTGTCCCTCACTACCACATGTAGTGCAGAACTTCTTGTCTTTTTAAATGGACATTTCTTTGGTAGTGTGATGGTATGAATAACAGTTCCAGCAATGTTGGATGTAATGATATCTCTCGCTTCAATGTAGGTAGGGCTGATGTAGTAGTGGTAGACAGCAAGACCTTCGTTCAGTGCAGTGGCAGCCATGTTCACGTCGGTGAAGGTGACCTTGATCATGGACTATGCATTCGGGTTTTTGTAATGCTGTCAACAGTAGCCCAAGTAAATTTTTCGTCTCGATGAATGACTTGAGCTCAGCAGGTGGGTTTTAGACGTCGAATCTTGGGCCAGTTTTTTTAGGAATACTGATTTCCTTGCCCTGAGGGCAGGAGATGACGTAACAGTAAACCCTTGAGTAGTAAGAGTAGTGATGGCTTCTGTAGTGAGTAGCTTCTCTGCTTCAGCATCATCGTGACACACAACAATGAATGCTTCTTTCAGTGACAATATGGTGTTGAATTTTACTTCCAGTGCTCCCTGAACAACAGTTGCAAGAGCAATCTTCGTTGAATCATCAACGGTACAATTTCTTGGTTTGATCTTTACACGATTTGCGTAGCTCATCGTGTAAGTCATGGCGATGACAACGCTGGTCGATCTACCTGGGGTGGAAGGTACGGGAGTATTTATAGCCGGGTTCAGAATGTTGAGGTCAGGTGGAGAATGCTGCATCTGATGATCTACCGGGCGGGGTTATAGAGTCTTGGGTAGCTTGGCAGGGGTATTGGACAAGTCTACTCACAACTTGTCCAATACCCCTGCCAAGCTACCCAAGACTCTATAACCCCGCCCGGTAGATCATCAGATGCAGCATTCTCCACCTGACCTCAACATTCTGAACCCGACTATAAATACTCCCGTACCTTCCACCCCAGGTAGATCTGTTTGTGACTTGAAAAAGCCCACTGTGTGGGCGAAACGTTGTCAATAAAGGATCACATTAAACTGCATATGTGTTTATGTTTCCGCTGCAGTGAGAATGGCGAGTCAAGAGGCTTCTGCAATGCTGAAACTAACACAGCTTGGTTCTGATGGTCAACAAGGCTGTGAAGCAGCTACCCATGGAGCACGAGTATACATCCATAACTTGTCAGCTCAAAAAAGTCCCGATCAAACTGGACTCTGCTCTCTACATTAGTTTCTAGACACTTCCCTTTCATTTAATCTTTCATATAAACGTATTATGGTGGGACTTCTACACTGATTGACTCGTGTGAGGGTGTACAACAGGGCAACCCTCTTTTCTCTTTGCTTTTCTGTATGGTCATCAAGGAAGTCACAGAAACACTGTTCAGCGAGTTCATTATCTGGTTCTTGGATGATGGTGCCCTGACTGGCACTACAAAATCTCTCCAAGAGGACATCAGGAGCTTGGGCCTATCCTTAAACCCTACCAAATGCGAGTTTCTACTAATCAACAGATCACTGAGGATATTAGCATGAGCCATCGATCAAGCCAATAGCACTCTCCTTGGTGCTCCTCTCGGAGCAACAAGGAGAGTGTACCTTTCATCAGGACGATGAAAGTCAGAAAGACAGTGATACTCACCAGGAACCTCTCCCTCCCAAAACTTACCTACTTCTTGAGATGCTCCCCAGCCTTCATCAGTCCGAAACTCAAGAAGTATGACTCCCTCCTAAACACCATGCGAGAGAGTGTACTGAATTTTTCCCTCGAAGATGGACAGAGGTTGCATGCCTCACTTCCAGTCAGGCTTGGGGGGCTGGGAGTATGCAAATCCTCCCAGATTGCCCTACCAACTTTCTTATTCTCTTCCATGACCTCAGACAAGCTAACAAAATAAATTCTTCTCGACAACCCTGGTGTCTTACCAGGAATACAGGATCCTAACTGCACCAGTGCCATTACCGAATGTGAGACTTGTTGTTCCAGAACCAAAACCTAGTGCAGCACTAGCCTACAAACAGTCCAGTTGGGATGGCCCCATTGCTGAAAAGGTGCATGACAACATGCTTAGGACTGCAACATCCAAAAGGGAGACTGCCCATCTCCAAGCTGTGAGTGCACCTTACTCTGGGGACTTCTTTCATACAGTTCCTATCTTGGCAAGGGGAACATGCTCTGAGCCACAGACCCTCTGTACTGTAGTGGCTCTCTGCTTTGCTGCCCTAATTCACATGGGATATATGTGTATCTGCGGTGATGTGCAAGCCGATCAATATGATCTACATGGTCTAAACTGCTCCAAAACCAAGGGTTCATATGCAAGATACAATGAAGTCAGCATCATAAAGATGAGCCTTGCTACAGTTGGGTGTCTGGCTGAGAGACAGCCCCAGTCCCTAGCAACCAGCAATACTCACAGGATCATCATCTATCCTTGGAAAAATGGTAGGCTTTAGCATGGGACTATACAAACCATACCATGGGCGGGGATTGAACTCTTGGCGAGTCGTAAAACTCCAGGCCAGCACGTAAGTCACTGGGCCACCTCGCTACAATAAGGTTCATCCAACTAGGTATATTTATACACCATAGAGAGGTTAGCATGATGAAGCAGTTTAATAAAGACAAATGCAACGTTCTAAATGTTGGAAAGGATAATAACCATGCCACATATAAACTAAACAATGTAGATCTTAATATTACTGATTGTGAAAAGGATTCGGAGTTCTGGTTAGCAGTAACTTGAAACCAAGACAACAGTGCATAATCATTCGCAATAAAGCTAACAGGATCATTGGCTTCATATCAAGAAGCATAAATAATAGAAATCCTCAGTTTGTTCTTCAACTCTATATATCCTTTGTTAGGCCTCATTTAGATTATGCTGCACAGTTCTGGTCACCGTATTACAGAAAGGATATAAATGGTCTGGAAAATGTACAAAGGAGGATGACAAAATTGATCCCATGTATCAGAAACCTTCCCTATGAGGATAGACTGAGGCCCTGAATCTGCACTCTCTAGAAAGGCATAGAATTAGGGGGGATATGATTGAGGTGTATAAATGGAAAATAGAAATGAATAAAGGGGATGTAAATAGCGTGATAAAAATATCTAGCCTAGACAGGACTCGCATCAATGGTTTTAAGCTGGAAAAATTCAGATTCAGGAAGGATATAGGAGAGCACTGGTTTGGTAATAGAGTTGTGGATGAGTGGAACAAACTCCCGAGTACCGTCATAGAAGCTAAGACGTTGTGTAGTTTTAAAAATAGGTTAGATGAATATATGAGTGGGTGTGGGTGGGTGTGAGTTGGACCTGACTAGCTTGTGCTACTGGGTCAGATGCCGTGCTCCTTCCTTAAGTGAACGTGTCCTGACTGGGTAGGCCATTGGTCTAAACCGGGGGATTACATGGACCTGTCCAGCATGGGCTAGTAGGCCTGCTGCAGTGTTCCTTCTTTCTTATATTCTTACGATGGCTTTGAGGGGACTAGAACTAGAGTTCGTCACTGCCACAATGGCAGGAGATGCATCTGTAAAAACTTGTCTGTGTGGTCTTGTGAGTTCATTACCTTGTACCTAGTTCAGCCATCAAAACTTTGGAGCCCGGTCCCTGGACCCATTGTGTACCTCTGTAATCTGTAAATACCTTTGTAACTTGTCATGATTGTGACTAGACCTACCTGGAGCTCATTACCTTTGTAAATTGTGAGTTCATTACCTTTGTAAATTGTGAATTCATTACCTCTGTAACTTGCTCAGCTATCAAAACTTTGGAGTCCAGTCCCTGGACCCATTATGTACCTCTGTAATCTTTTGACTACCGCCCACTGGATGGGTATGGGGTGCATAATAAACATATTAAACTAAAAAAACTGTGGTCACAGTGGTGGCCTGTGCTAACCTCACTATGGTGTATAAATATACCTAGGTGGATGAATCTTATTGTAACCAGCTGGACCAGTGGCTTACGTGCTCGTCTGGAGTTTACAATCGTGTCATTATAATTTCGTGAGACATGGAACTATACCTGCGTGTTGACGCTAGTCGACACCTACATCCCTCCAGCTGAGGTCCTTTTCAGCAGGTGCTATTATTATTATTATTATTATTATTATTATTATTATTATTATTATTATTATTATTATTTTAATGATTATATTTTGAATTATTAATAATTACCTCTCCAGGTAATGAAGGCTGAGAAATGTTGAAATATTGATGTTATATTTTGTTTAATACACATGTGAATAGATATACAGAAACATGTGTACGCAACACATCACAACACACATAACACGACACACACAACACACATAACACAACACAACACCTACTGTAACAAGGTAATATCAGCCTTCAGAGACAACACAACACACATAACACAACACAACACCTACTGTAACAAGGTAATATCAGCCTTCAGAGACAACACAACACACATAACACAACACACAGCCCAGGGCAACATGGGTTTAGAACAGGTCGCTCCTGTCTGTCTCAACTACTGGATCACTACGACAAGGTCCTAAATGCACTAGAAGACAAAAAGAATGCAGATGTAATATATACAGACTTTGCAAAAGCCTTCGACAAGTGTGACCATGGCGTAATAGCGCACAAAATGCGTGCTGAAGGAATAACAGGAAAAGTCGGTCGATGGATCTATAATTTCCTCACTAACAGAACACAGAGAGTAGTCGTCAACAGAGTAAAGTCCGAGGCAGCTACGGTGAAAAGCTCTGTTCCACAAGGCACAGTACTCGCTCCCATCTTGTTCCTCATCCTTATATCCGACATAGACAAGGATGTCAGCCACAGCACCGTGTCTTCCTTTGCAGATGACACCCGAATCTGCATGACAGTGTCTTCCATTGCAGACACTGCAAGGCTCCAGGCAGACATTGCAGACACTGCAAGGCTCCAGGAAGACATTGCAGACACTGCAAGGCTCCAGGCAGACACTGCAGACACTGCAAGGCTCCAGGCAGACATTGCAGACACTGCAAGGCTCCAGGCAGACATTTCAGACCTGCAAAGTCCAGGGGGACATTGCAGACACTCAAGGCTCCGGGGGGACATCAACC